TTTGGCGCCAGAGTCTGCGCAGTAATGATTTCTTTAAAGCCAGAGTCTGCGCAGTAATGATTCATTTGGAGCATTTGGAGCCAGAGTCTGCGCTGTAGTGATTCATTTGGAGCCAGAGTCTGCGCAGTAGTGATTCATTTGGAGTGCGAGTCTGTGCAGTAGGGCTGTGCAAATAATCGAAGGTGAGTTTCATGCGCATCTCGTCAGTAAAGCCGGTTCTGTGATTAGTAGTAAATCTCCAGCACGTGCTTTCAAATGGAGCGGCATTTAATACACAAAGCCGTAGTTCACTGACAAGCTATGCAATATCGCGTTCATAATCGCAGACGATTCATTGCCGATTACGAACGCGATATTGCTGATATTGTTCTTCTCCTGACCTGTGCTCATATCAGATGATGCACAATGCTCTTATAGTGGCACAGATTGTGCTAGTAGATCTCAAACCCTGCAGGATCATCCATCACGTTCTCTGAGTCAGCAGGAGCTGAGTGGTTTCTTGTGCACTGAAACACTCAGAATGCCAGTATGAGTATTGTTTGCCAAGTTAAGACTCATTAGAACACCTTAGCAACCATCTAGCGATGCCATAGCAACTGCAACAACTACTCAGAACATCTTAGCACCACATATTAATGCCTTAAAAACCACCCACAACACCCTAGCAACTGCTTATCAACCAGTTAGAACACCCTAGCAAGCACATAGCAACAAATTAGCACACTTTAGCAACCCACATAGCAACACCTTGGCAATCACTCAGAACACCCTAGCAACTGTATAACAGTTAACCAAATAATACAGCTTAGCAACCATGTAGCAACACCTGTTGCTATGTGGTTGTTAGGATAACCACCCAGAACACCCTAGCAACTGCTTAGTAACAAGTTAGAACTCTACCAACCACATAGCAGCAAATTTGGCAATCACTACCTTGGCAGTCGGAAGACCCTAGCAACTGCTTAGCAACAAGTTAGAACACCCTAACAACCACATAGCAGCAAATTTGGCCAATCACTGCCTTGGCAATCAGTCGGAACACCCTAGCAACTGCTTAGCAGTGTGTTAACCAAATAATACACCTTAGCAACCATGTAACAACACCTGTTGTTAAATGGTTGTTAGAATAATCACCCAGAACAACCTAGCAACTGCTTAGCAACAAGTTAGAACACCCTAGCAACCAAATAGCAACAAATTTGGCAATCACTGCCTTGGCAATCAGTCGGAACACCCTAGCAACTGCAAAGCAACAAGTTAGAACACCCTAGCAACCAAATAGCAACAAATTTGGCAATCACTGCCTTGGCAATCAGTCGGAACACCCTAGCAACTGCAAAGCAACAAGTTAGAACACCCTAGCAACCAAATAGCAACAAATTTGGCAATCACTGCCTTGGCAATCAGTCGGAACACCCTAGCAACTGCAAAGCAACAAGTTAGAACACCCTAGCAACCAAATAGCAACAAATTTGGCAATCACTGCCTTGGCAATCAGTCGGAACACCCTAGCAACTGCAAAGCAACAAGTTAGAACACCCTAGCAACCAAATAGCAACAAATTTGGCAATCACTGCCTTGGCAATCAGTCGGAACACCTTAGCAACATGTTAACAACCATTCAGAACACCTTAGCAACTGTGTAGCAATGTGCTGCTGGGGAATCTTCAGCGTTTTCTCAGTGGATGTGTGAGTGTAGCCTGTATTGAGCCGTGACTCATCAAACCCACAGAGTGTCAGTCACGTCTGATGATTCACGTTCAGAGGAAAGTGAGTGACTTTCTGCCCGCCGTCCAACACTGACTCCGCCCACCGGTGCCGCTCCAGCCAATCCCGAGTCCCGAGCTGCTCCTGATTGGCTAACGGCGCGCGTGTGTGCTTGTGATTTGCAGATGTGGATGAGTGCAGCAGAGCGAACGGAGGATGTGAGCACCACTGTAACAACACCATGGGCAGTTACCGCTGCTCCTGTCGTCATGGATACACGCTCTCGGGTCACCACATGTGTCTGGGTGAGTGTGAGGGCTGGAAAATCTGACAAACACAAAACCAAACACTTCTGACATGTGCATCTCAGCTCTGATTTAAAGTCTTGAAAAAGTATTTCTTTTAGTTTGTGGTTAAAAAATGTGGATTTTACTCAAATTTAGCTTAGTGTTGCACTCCAGATATGATCATTCTAAAATGAAAAATCATGTATAAAAACCTAATTTATGCAGGATCTCTTACATTACAATATTATTACATTTTTATTACTCATTATATTGCTGTTTTGTACTGCTCTATATTTTTATTTAAATCAACATTTTATTTTAAGGTTTATTAATTTTATACATTTTAATTATTTTAGTATTTAATAAAAACAATATTATAATTTTAGTTCAGGGGATAATGTGTACTTTGAATGCAGCATAGGTCTTTTTGGATAAATTATTTTTTTTATCTAATATTTTAATATCTAAACTTTAAAGTTAATAAAACTATCAAATATTATTTTAACCTAATTCCATATATATATATGTTTTTTTATTTATTTAGCATAATCATATTTTTAATAATTTTTAAAATTTTTACCCTGTTTATTATTTTTTACCTGCTTTTTGTAAACCTCTGCAATACAGCATAGTGCTAGCAAAGGCAAGGCCATGGGTTCAGATCCTGAACTGTGTACTCTGAATGCAATGCATGTGCTTTTGGATAAATCAAATTTTTTTTAAAAATTATTTTCATCCAATTTATTTTTTAGTTTTAAAATACTGCAATACATACTGCAATATAATATTGAAATATAATATATAAGAATGATGTTCTTGTTAATAATATGACAGTTTATTCACTGCTGCAAATACTTTCTCCTCCAGAATGAAAACAGATTATTAATCAAAACATCGTTAGCAGCTGTGCGTCTGATTTGTGACTCAGTGAATCGCAGGGGTTCCTCTCCTGGTTTCTCCACAGATGTGGACGAGTGTGTGGAGACTCCAGACGTCTGCGGATCTGCGCGGTGCTCAGACCTCGACGGGAGCTTTGACTGCTTGTGTGAGGAAGGGTTCGTCTATGACAACATCACCCAGAGCTGTGTAGGTGAGTTTACAGGATCTTAGCGTACAGCGAGATGAAGCTCAGAGCAGCAGATGATGGCACACACAGCGGTGACCGAAACCATTACAACACTAGTGTTCCCAGCAGCTAAAAGTGTGTTTAAGTCAGTTATGTCTATCTTTTGCTGTAGTGTGTCAGTAGGAAATATCAGTTTACATTTCCAAACATTAATTTTGCCTTTAATTGTAATAATCCAGTGAGAGTCTTTGTTGTCATTGCACATGCACAGTCCTTTCAATTTCTGTTTTCAATTCTATCGAAATTCCATTCAGATTGAGCTCAGTCGGATCAATTCAGGTGTTTACGTGAAGGCTTTTCAGTCCGATTACTAACAGATTATTTGGTTGCATGTAAACGTATTTATACGTGTTATAAAAACTATCCTATTATAGTTTATATTAATTTTTTTTATTGTAGTTTAAGGTTTAAACTACAATTCAATAAATATTAAATCAATAAACATCAATAAATATTTTTTAAATAATTAATGAAAATGAGAAATGTTGCCTTTTTTTCTTTATTTCGGTTAACATTCATATTTTTATGGTTTTGATTTTAGTTTTCATTTATATTTTCATTTTAATTTTAGGTTTAGTAATTTTGGTTTTTGTCATTTTTATTTTTACGTGTGTTTTATGTCTATATAGTTTTACTTCAGTTTTGGTTTTAGTTATTTTAAGTCATCATGCTAAACTAAATGAAAATTAGAAAAGTTGCCTTTGAAAATAAAATATTTCTTTCTTATTTCAGTTAACTTTTTATTTTATTTTTTTTTTTTAAGGTTTTTATATTCATATTTTTATTTTAGTTTAGATTTTTCTATTTTCAATTCAATTTAAGTTTTAGTATTTTTTATTTATTTATTTTTTTTTGTTAAAAAATGTCCATAGAGTTTTCATTAAAAAAAATTTTTTTTTTCAGTTGTAGTTATTGTAGGACATCATGCTAAACTAAATGAAAATGAGAAAAGTTGCCTTGGAAAATATAATTTTTTTTAAAATTTCAGTTAGCATTTATTTTATTTTAATAAGACATTTTTATTTCTTCTGGTTTTAGTTTCAGCTAAGGAGAATAGCCCTGCTCTGAATCAGTCTGAAGAATGTTCCTCGTCTCTCAGTCTCAGCAGCACAGGACGTTTCCATCTCATTACATGATGTTCTTTGGGAACATGACTTTTTTTGTGGCTCTTCACCTAGTCGTTACTGTTGAGAGGAAACAGCTTACATAACGCCTCAACAGATCCTCTTCAGTTCTTACACAGTCGACCGAGGAACATTCCTCCAGCTCATTTGTGGTTCATCTTTTAGGATTCCCGTCATCAGTGTTACAATCATATTTCCACAGTGTATATTCTCATGTATATCCGCACGCACCATTACATCCAAAACAAGAATAAAGATTATATAACGTGTGTGTTTCAGTCCAGGTCACTCCCTGTTGACTCTGAAACACACACAGAGCAGGAGAAGAATGACACTCTCAGATTAGGTTTATAAATGCTGTGTTTCTAGATTAATGAGAGCTGAAAGTGTTGATCTGGGCCTGTATTCACAAAACATCTTCAGGCTAAAAGTAGCTCATAACTCGCTGATTTAGGAGAAAATCTTAAAAATAATGGAAGTGTCAGTCCTAAATGTAGGACTCCTGAATGTTTGCTCTAAGAGTGTTTCACGAAGCGTTTTCGCTCTAAAACTAGCTCCTAAATCTGAGAAAGGTTTTAGAGCTAAAACCTTTAGCTCTAAATTTTAAAATCTATTATTTATTATTATTCTTAAACCTTTATTTGAATATAGCAACATAATATCGCACTCTTCAATATTTCTATGAATGAATCTCTAACAGAGACTGTCAGCCAATCACTGTGTGCATAGTTAATAAGCATGATGACATCACCCATAGCAACGAGGTAAACCCCGCCCCCTTACTCTGAGCTTAAGACTTCTCTCTGTTCTTCAGTACAAGTTTGTCTCAGCAGCTTTGTGAATAGGGTTTAAGAGAAACTCTTAGATAAAAACTTTTACTGCTATTTAGGAGAACTCTTAGTGATAAGATCAAATGTTTTGTGAATATGAGCCCTGATGTTGATGAATGAGAGTATTGAGTGTGTTTGAGCTCATGCTCCTGTTGTTCCGGTCAGACGTGGATGAGTGTGAGACGCACGTGTGTGAGGAGGAGTGTGTGAACACACCCGGAAGTTTCCGCTGCTACTGTGACGGACGGCAGGGGAAGAGACTGGGACAAGACTTCAGGAGCTGTGAGGTGATCACACACACACACACACTCTCTCTCACACACACACACACACACACACACACCTCACTCACACAACTCACACACACACACTCACACACACACACACACACACACTCACACACACACACTGACGCACTGACACACACACACACACACACTCTCTCTCTCTCACACACACACACACGCTTTTGACGTAACAGTTATATCTATATTTGACGTAAGTAGTTATATCTAAGTGTTGTGTGAGTTGTTTATTTACTTTTTAAAATTAGTCTGCCCATTAACGTCGTAATATTGTTCATTCAGACTGATTCACGAACACGCACGAACACAAGAGGCGGGATTTGTTGCATGAACCAATCACAGCCGAACATAACCAGCCATATCCAAACATATCACGATGGAGGCATTGCCTCCTGTCATGTGACTTTCCCCCATTCATTCTCAATTACCCCCAAAAACTCATGGCTCGCTGTGGGGGGTCTGTTAAAACCCAATGGACTCAGGGGAGGCGTAACTTTACCCGCTGATGTCGCTGTTGGACAATGTTTCTTTAGAAAAACGAGTGAATTATACACTTTTTTAATGTTATATTTTGTAATATGGGCGTTTTTGTATTTTTGTGCTATGATTTTTATATATATGAAGTTTGTGTTCAGTATGACTTTTTAATTTTTTTAAAGAAATTACTATTTTTATTCCGCAAGGACGTATTAAATTGATCAAAAGTGACAGTAAAGACATTTATGTTACTAATTAAAAATGTAATATATTAATATTGAAGATCAGAATGATTTTTAAAGCTCAGCAGTTTCATATTTATGTTATATAACTACAAACAGAAAAACAGCCAGACATTATTGTAGTTTTGATGGTTTTACTTTATTTTGCCTGTTTCTGCCTGTGACGACACGCTTTTATCAGAAACCAATCATGTCAGACTGGACTGTCATCACTAATAATAACTAACTATAATAATAATTCTGTTCATTTATGATTCTAAAACACTGACTGGATCAACTTTAGACCAGTGTTATTTTAGTATCATTGAGATACTGCTATACTTTTTTATTTATATTTATATTTTATTCATATAATAATATAGATTTTTTAAATATTCTACAGTTTTAGTAATTTTGTTGCATGTTTTTAAAAATGTTTGTAGTTATATATATAAATTTTTTTTTTCCAGTTTTAGTTATTTTAATACATCAATTTAAACTGAATTAAAATGAGAAATGTTGCCTTGGAAACTAGTTGAAATAAAATGTTTTTTATTTTTTATTTGTATTTTATTTCGGTTAACTTTTACTTTATTTCAAGTAATGACATTTTTTTTTTAATGGTTTTAATTTTAGATTTAGTTAAGTAATAACCCTGCTTTAACTAACTAATAACTGGCAGTGAAAACTAATAAAATTATAAAAGCACATAAAATAAAAAATTTTAATGAAAACTGACTATGTTTTCATTTCTTGTTGAGCACATTTTAGGTCCAGTTTGCTCGCGACTCTTCGGTTTGCTGATGTGATCAATCCTATATGAACCGCTTGCAAATAGTCCAAAATGCAAAATGCTAGACTTCTTACTAGCACACGTAAATTTGAGCGCATCTAGCTCTCTCTGTGTTGGTTGCCGGTATGTTTTAGAATAGCGTTTAAGATTTTATTCTTTGTTTTTAAGGTCTTAAATGGTCTGGCACCTTCTTATTTATCTGAAGTTGTGACTGTTAACACATCTGCGAGATGTTTAAGGTCATCAAATCAGAAACTTTTGCCGTAGCCTAGCTTTATTTATTATTGATTATCCTTTCTATTAGGATAATCCCTACAGAATCTCTGTTTAAAGTAAAACTTAAAACTCTCCTTTTAGAAAAGGCTTATAATATCTGAGCTGTCCTGAGCATGTTTTCTCTCTGTGTGTAACTAGGGCTGCTCAATTATGACAAAAATCATAATCACGATTATTTTGGTCAATATTGTAATCACGGTTATTTGATACAATTATTAGTAGGCCATAGGGCCAAAACTTTATGTGGAAGATTTATTTAAAGATAGTGATATATATAAAATATATTTTTTCTGTAAATAAGGTTGCCAATTTACTACAATTTACTGTTACACCTATATTTTCATTCTCATCTTTATTATTGCTTTTATAAAACTGTTATTCCATATACGTAGTAAGGTTTCACAAAATAAAACAGAGCAAATAAAGTGTAATGATATTAATAAAAACAGTATTCTTCCACCAAACAATGTAGCTCCTCAGAAACAGTTGTGGTTGCAACAAAGTGGTTGCCGAGCAACACACAAACGTAAACAAAGATGTATGTTACTTTGTAGAGTCATTTACAACAGCTTCGAACGCGGCTCAGCCAATCAGAATCAAGCACCGGAACTATCCGCTTTATAATGAGGCATCTACGTGTATATATCTATGCCTAGTATGTACCATGTCATTGTATGCTGTTTTATTGTTTTGATTTGACAATTTTTGTACAGCACAATGGTCAACGACTGTTGTTTTATTGTGCTATATAAATAAATTAACTAACTAAAAAAAAATTGTGAGAATGTTTGGCTCATCTTCCTCTCTGTGTGTCTGAAGCCCATCGAGCTTCACCGGTCGCTGGACATGAGGAGGAACTCGCGCTCGCTGTACCTCGGACGCATGTTCAGCGGGATTCCTGTGGTCCGACTGCGCTTCCGCCGCAGGGTTCAGACCGGGTGAGCACGCCTGCACTGTAATATCTTGTTGGCTTTATTTTATTTATAGAGCACGATTAAAACAACACAAGGTTGACCAAAGTACTGTACAATAACAACAGCTAATAAAAATGAGACCAACATCTCTCAGAAAAGAAAAAGACTGATACAGTTGAGGTTAAAAGTTTACCCCCCCCCCCCCTTTCAGAAAAGTTAAGTGTATTTTATGGAAATCATATATAATCATATACAGTTGAGGTCAAGCGTTTACATCCCCCTTTCAGAATCTGCAAAATGTAAATTATTTTACCAAAATAAGAGGGATCATACAAAATGCATGTTGTTGTTTATTTAGTACTGACCTGAATAAGATATTTCACATAAAAGATGTTTACATATAGTCCACAAGAGAATTTATAAAAATGACTCTTAATACTGAGTTTTAACAAACAAACGCTGATGCTCCAGAAGGAGAAACCATGCATTAAGACTTTTGAATTTGAAGATCAGGGTAAATTTAACTTATTTTGTCTTCTGGGAAACATGTAACTATCTTCTGTAGCATCTGAAGGGCAGAAATAATTGAAAACAAAATATGATATTTAGGCAAATGGGAGCGCTGATGGAAGCCATCTACTGCAGCTTTGCTTTGATAATATTACTGAATATGATCCAGATGTAGCGTTTGATAAAAATGCGATTTTCTCAGCTTTTTGCTCAAAAATGAAACCTACCTACATTCAAGTGTTGATAAAAAAGAATGCTTGAAGCTGGACTAAAACAGATTTTTTTTTTGTTTAAATGTAGATGGTTGGTTCTTTATTTTGATGTATTGCATGTTCAGATATTCATAAAACAGAATATTCTGGGGGCCATGAAATTTTAGTGGAAATCATCAAAATAAGCTGGCGGGGAAAGAGTTAAAGGATTAGTTCACTTCCAGAATAAAAATGTCCACAATAAGGGTTTTTCACCCTACTCTGAACTTTCTATTCATCAAAGAAACCTGAAAAAATTCTACTCAAAATAATAGTAATATATGTTTTTTGAGCAGCAAATCAGAATATTAGAATGATTTCTGAAGATCATGTGACTGGAGTAATGATGCTGAAAATATAGCTTTAAAATCTTTGACTGGTAGTGTAAGTTAGCCTAGTTAAAGATATTAATATTAATAAGGTGAGTCTGAGATGTTTATTTGACAGTGATTTCATATTCCTTATTTGTATGAAGGCTAAATACAAATAAAAGTAGAACATTAATTTACTCGTGCCGTTTATATAGTTTTATAGGAGGACGTTTCATAGACTTGGCAAATTCATTTTTCATACGTTTGTATGCACAGACATCTGTTGTGGGACATCTGTTTATGAGGCTTTTTTTAATAGTGTTCATATCGATATCGGAATTATATCGTATCGACTGAAATTAAGATTTTGGCCATATCGTCCAACCCTAGGTTAACCCTCGACTGGACGGCTGTATGAAGGACTGGCGCTGGTTAACCGGTGAGGACACGTCTATTCAGGACACCGTCCAGCACAACGAGCGCATGCAGTGTTACGCCATCGAAGACCACAGCGCCTTCTACCCTGGACACGGATTCGCCTACTTCAACCACAGCCACGGTGTGCCACCATACATTATCTTATTCAGCTTTCAGATGATGCATAAATCTCAATTTCAAAAAATTGACACTTATGACTGGTTTTGTGCTCCAGAGTCACATTTATATACTGATACAGTATTTATTCATATTTTGCATTGGCTTTTATTTTTATATTTTCAGTTTTCATTTTAATTTGTTTTAATTTGAGTGATTTTTGTTAGTTTTTTTAAAGTATTATTTAACTTCTAATTTTCCTTTTAGTTTTATAAGTTTAAGTTTGTCATCTAATATTTTATTTTATTTCAGTTAGCAAAAAAACTATTTTTAACAGTTTAGTTTTCGTTAACAATAACAACACTGGTATGTGTAGATGTGGTTTTATTGGGGGTGAATATGACAAAACAACATTTTATTATTTTTTAAATTAGTTTTTATTTTTTCATTTTCATTTCAGTTAAAGTTTTGGTAATTTTGCTGTTTTGTGTTTTTTTAGTATGCCTATTTAGTTCATATTTTTATTTCAGTTTTAGTTCAGCGTTAGTTAGCTTAGTAAATCAAGTTAAACTAAATGAAAATGAGAAATGTTGCTTTGGCTAACTAGCTTGAACTAAAATATTTTATTTTATTTAATTTAACAATTGTTTCATTTCAAGTAACAATGGTTTAAGCTTGGTTAACTGTAATAACCCTGTTTCCTGTAGGAGACAATCAGACGCTCAGTGTTCATGTGACCCTGCGGCCTGCCTCCTCCGTAGGAGTCCTGTTTGCTCTGGTTCATCAGGACCGAGTCCCGTTCTCCGTCTCTCTGTCAGACTATCATCCAGGGACACTCGACTGGACCGAGGTGTGTGTGTGTGTGTGTGTGAGAGTGTGTGTACCTGACGCCTATGGAATGTCCCCATAAAACATGGAAACACAACATGTGTGTGTGTGTGTGTGAGTGTGAGAGTGTGTGTAGGTGTGTTTGTGTGTGTGAGTGTGTGAGTGTGTGAGAGAGAGAGTGTGTGTGTGTGTGAGAGAGAGTGTGTGTGTGTGTGTGTGTGTGTGTGAGTATGAGTGTGTGTGAGTATGAGAGTGTGTGTGTGTGTGTACAGTGCTGGCCAAAATGATTACAACACTAGTATTTTCAGCAGCTAAAATATGGTTTTAAGTCAGTTATGTCTATCTTTTGCTGTAGTGTGTCAGTAAGAAATATCAGTTTACATTTCCAAACATTCATTTAGCCATTAATTGTAATAATGCAGTGAGATACAGTGGGTACGGAAAGTATTCAGACCCCCTTAAATTTTTCACTCTTTGTTATATTGCAGCCATTTGCTAAAATCATTTAAGTTAATTTTTTTTCCTCATTAATGTACACACAGCACCCCATATT